CACACGACACACAATAGCAAAGACATGTGAATGAAGAGCCTACACCCTTTAAAAGTAATTCTCACGAAACTACAGGTTCAGACTGAGTTCTGTTGGCAAAGCTGCCTGTGAAAACCTGCCCTGGGAGATCCGCCCACACACTACACTAATTAATCTACTTTCATAAAGACCGTGGAACTGATTTTGATCTACGAGGCATGAAACGTATGTTCAGGAGCTTTGTTTCCACCAGAAAGCCATCTTAACTGAATGGGTGTTTTTTTTTTTGAAAAGTTTCTCAGCCAATATTTCAAATTTTTAAAATTTCCCCCTCTTACTGAACCAAAATGGAAAAGTGAGAAAGACAATAAAGGACAAAACAGATTTTTAATTCTTAAAAAAAAAACAGAAAGTAAACACTCCATTAGCTCTCCAAGATTTTAAGGCAAAAAGAAAAAGCAAGTTATTAAAGGATATAGGCACACTTACAGAGCACATCTCACCCCAATACCTCAATGGGAAAATGGACGTGGGCTTAGCATCACAAAAAATAAATGGTATCTCCAGACCAGCAGGCACTCACCAAGAGATGCCCATGCAAGAGTCCCCAAATTTTTCAGTTGGCATTTTCAGCTTAGGTTTTTTTCTTAAATCAGGTTTACGTGAAACCAGTGACAATGAATTCATTAAGGTTGGGGCAGGGAGGCTGTATTCCTTGTTACTTGAAGTAAACATTGTTCAGGAAAAATACTGAAAATTTACAAATGAAAATTGCAAACTATAGAAAGAGAAGGGAAAATAAAACAGAAATTGTGGTTTTGAACACATCAAAAATAATTCAGTTATCTCATATGCCATAACAAATGAGAAGACAGTTTTCATTTATGATCTGTAAATTCAAATGTTCTTAACTTTTTTTTTTCTTGATTTGGCATGGAACTCCAGGACAACCTCACAGTAAGGAAAGACATAAAAACCAATATGGATAAATATGTACAACTATTATGTATCCATAATAATTTAAAACTTTTTTAAAATTTTTAAACTAATAAGGGAAGAGAGAAAGGCACTCACTTTCCACCCAACATTATGGTGTCACTTGACTTCAAATGCCACTAGCTATTCCATTTTCTCTCCTCTGGTAATTATTACCTGCTGAACTTTTACTATGTTTTGTCTGTTAGGTTTATTTAACTAACCCTTTCACACAAAGGAAGATATTATTATGAACCTTGTTCTATTCACTACAGAGATGACAGTAATGATGGTGGTGGTGGCGATAATGACAGCTACACGTCAATATTTGAATCTCACCACTAAGGAGGCATTAATACACCTTTACAGAATTGGGCTAAGATTAGTAGAAACACTTTTTCTTTTCTTTTTTTTTTTTTTTTGAGACAGAGTCTCACTCTCTTGCCTGGGGCGAGTGCCGTGGCATCAGCCTAGCTCACAGCAACCTCAAATTCCTGGGCTCAAGCGATCCTTCTGCCTCAGCCTCCCAAGTAGCTGGGACTACAGGCACGCGCCACCATGCCCAGCTAATTTTTTTTCTATATATTTTTAGCTGTCCAATTAATTTCTTTCTATTTTTGGTAGAGACAGGGTCTCGCTCTTGCTCAGGCTGGTCTCGAACTCCTGAGCTCAGAACGATCCACCCGCCTCGGCCTCCCAGAGTGCTAGGATTACAGGCGTGAGCCACCGCGCCCGGCCTAGAAACACTTTTTCTAAAGGGCTATGGGCTATTAATCACACACACACACAAAAAAAACCCACAATCAATCCCCAATAAATGTAGAATTAATATATTAATAAATTAATAACTGTAATGCAACCAATGCTGCTGACCTCAAGAGAGGAAATGTAAATAAAATTTCTCCCATATCTGTCAAACAAATAAATGAACTCTTCCCTGAGGAAAAGCCATACTTTTCTGCCTTTATTAAAGGCAATTTAAACCCTTTAGTTATTACTATTTCTGACACAAATGAAGCCTGAAATACATTCTGGTTATAGCCAAACACCCGCCACCCCAGGGATTTCTAAGAAGTACAGGACTGCTGGAAACAAGCCACTCAGAAATTATCCTGCTCCTTACCCAGCTCTGCCAGAAGATAACTCTGTATTAAAACTGAACTCTTTGGCCAGGCGAGGTGGCTCACGCCTGTAATCCTAGCACTCTGGGAGGCTGAGGCGGGAGAATTGTTTGAACACAGGAGTTTGAGACCAGCCTGAGCAAGAGCGAGACCCCGTCTCTACTAAAAAAATAGAAGGAAATTAGCTGGATAACTAAAAATATATATAAAAAATTAGCCGGGCATGGTGGTGCATGCCTGTAGTCCCAGCTACTCGGGAGGCTGAGGCAGGAGAATCGCTTGAGCCCAGGAGTGTGAGGATGCTGTGAGCTAGGCTAACGCCACGGCACTCATTCTAGCCAGGGCAACAGAGCGAGACTCTGTCTCAAAAAAAAAAACAAACTTTTCCTGGGGGCCCTAATAAGAAAGTGATGAAACAATCAGATCTAAAATATATTTATTATATTAATATTTGTTTGTGCTTATGTGATGGGGAAAAAAAAAAAACGTGAATCCTATGACGAGCCAGACCCAGCTAATTAGAAAGTCATCATTCACCTACGTATTGTTACAACTGGAGAAGTCAGATAAAGCAAAGGATGTGAAGACAAGGAGGAAGAAATGTCTTCATCCTTAAGTTCTAACTCCACAGGAAGCATCTGCTCGAAGAACAATAACTCCCAGCCTCTGCTAGTGGAGTAACATTCTCCTTTGAAAGAGGAGAGTGCTCCTAGCAATGGCATTTTCTTCTCTTTTTTTTGAGACCGAGTATCACTTTGTTGTCCAGGCTAGAGTGCCATGCCGTCAGCCTAGCTCACTGCAACCCCAAACTCCTGACCTCAAGTGATCCTCCTAGCCTCCCAGAGTGCTAGGATTACAGGCGTGAGCCACCGTGCCCAGCCGAAATGACATTTTCAATGAAACTGTACATCAACAGAGTCCAAAACAGCCCATGAAAGAAGCAGCATTTTCCCTCCTTTTTCTTCAAAGATCCATTTTGTTCCAGGACAGCACTGTCCAACCCAGTCTTGAGCATTTTAGCTCTAGGGGCATATGAGGAAATCTCCTCCCAAAAGAAAAATCTAAGAATAAAGTTTAAAAACCAAGCCACAACACGTGCACCCCCAGTGCAGGTACTATCTGCTGCAGAAAAGAGAAAGAAGACAGAGAGATAATGGAGATTGCAGAAATGACAATAACAGGAGAAATTCTAGAATAAGAGTATGTAAAAGTCAAAGCAAAGGCCAAATATTTATCAAAATCATCCACATCCAGGTTATTCTGGACCTCTGCTTTATGTAAAACTGCCATACTGATAGAGCCAAAATTATAAATTCTTAATGAATAAATAATGAATGTGAAACTACCTTAAGTATTGTCTCCTGTGATTTAGTATTTCAAATTTTTCTTTACTATCATAAGATCAGGATTTATTCATTTTCAGAAATGACAGTTCAATGACAAAAGTTGAGGTCTATACCCATGTAAAAAGGAAATGAGGCTTTCTGCATCTTCCTCTGCAGTATTATTACACTAATAACATTAGCAGTTGTTGCATATTGAGTGCCTAATAGGTACTACATACTGCTTTCAACTTTGTAACTGTCCTAGGAAGTCAGTTTCATTATCTCTGTTTTACATATAAGGAAACTTAAGCTCAGAGCAGTTAAGTAACCTGCCCAAGATCAGACAACTTGCTAGGATTCAAATTCAGATCTTCAGGGCTAACCTATACTTCCTCTTCCAGGAAACAAGACCTCCCACCTCCCTGACATTGTTCCTATGAAGAACAATGAGGAAGTGACCTGGCCCCTATACACACCATCTCTTCCTGGTTCCTATCCAAATTTACCTACCCAGTCAACTTCCAGTGAGGAAAGAACCACAGAATGTAGATGAACTTTTATTTTTAATCTCATTTCATGCTGGTTTTAATTTCTCTATGCTGGAAAAGAATAAACATTTACATAATGAACTGTTCTGAAATCCCACCCACCCTCCATTGTGTGCCCATAAATGATTTTTCTTTAAAAAACATTATAGGAAGTTATGCCTCCATTTCTAGCCTCTGACTAAACATGCAAACATGCTTCTGGTTAAAATTGTTTATATTTGGGTGATAGGATTACAGGTGGTTTTGGTTTATTTCCTTTACTGCTAGTGTTTATCAAGTTGTAAGCACTGAGCATATGTTGCTTTTGCAATTAGAAAAAAAAATACGGTAAGTGTTCATTTCAATGAAAAAGAGTTTAGGTATTTAAGTATTTACCCCTTCCCCCCAAATTATTTTTCCCTTAATATTGAAAAAGAAGATATTCATTGGCCCAATTTAATCCTGGTCCAGGTAAGAACCCGAACTTAAAACAAGAGATGTTAGTTCTTTTATAAAGGTTTCTGTTTTCATGCTATTTTTTTCCTGCTACTTTAAAAACTAAGAAATATTCCATAAAAGTGGATTTCAACTATTGTGTAGCTCTTCTTTTCCTTCCCACAGGCCTATTTTGTTAAATACTGTGCACCCAATAAATTTGGATTTGTGACAGAGACTAGCTTTTAACCGCGCCCATTTCCTCTTCTGGGGTACACGCTGGCCTACATTTCCCAGCCTCCTTTGCCGTCTGAATATGAGCAGTCTTGACATGAGCTATTTCTAGGCTAGCCCATAAAAACCTCCCACATGAGTAACTCCATGCTCTTCTCCTGCAGTCTTGGGAGCCGCATGTTTAAGATCATAGAGTCACAAAATGGAAGGAAACTGGGTCTCTGAATCTCCACTTGGAAGAGCACCCAGGAACACCACTTGGGACTTTACACGAGTGAGAATTAAGTGTCCTATGTAAGCCACTGCAAGTTCAGGGTTCCTCTGTTCCGCTACCTAACACATGGCTTATTCATATATTCCAGTTATTACTGCAGAAAGGTAAGACTCTACACTGTTTATCTTACCTTTTTCAAAAACTCCTTCTGCTTCCAGGACAGACACAGTGAGGTTTGCTGCCACCTTGAACAGCTCCGCCTTCACAGTGACCTGCGAGGGACTGTGTTCCAGAAGATCTACCCCAATGGTCACATTTCCTCCGGGTCTGATGATCCCTGGGGCTGTCACCAGAAACTGGGACCTAAAGAGTCCCCAACAAGGGAAAAACAAAGTTTCTTATCCTCATATCTCCATTCTTTTGTGACCTTCAAATTTCATAGATAATGAGATAGATGCTCCATACTGTGCCAATTGCGGTTATTCCAATTAACCCCGCCCCAGTGCTCTATTTAGCAATTGCATTGAAATGCTACTGAAACAACAATAATTCCCATAAATTAATTTTAATGCATAAATCCATGCCCCCCTACTAGAGGAAGGCCTGTGTTATTATTTCCTGCAAACAGCACAGGAGGAGCCATGGTGTAAATAAATGGCTTACACTGGGGCATGCAGAAGTTATTGGCACATAACACTAAGCTTCTCCCTTACAGACGGCCTCTTCCAGAGTGATTGTTTTCTTGGTTAAAAGAAAAAAAAAAACTAGGATTTTGCCTGTTTTTCATACAAATTTTTATGCTTGGGCATGCGCCCAAGGAAATAATCATCTAACCAATAGCATTGATTGAAATACACCATCTGAAAATAAAATACCAGTGGTGAAATTTCCAGGTGTAGCAGAGAATAAAAGAAGTCACCAAAGCAGAACTTTCTCTGCCTGGAGCTAAGGGTTAGGGCTCAATTGCAAAAATCTTTAGGCTGTCCACTATTCGGATGCTCTCATTAGTTATCGTCCCACTATGTCTGCACCTAAACCCATAGTTCAGCCACATTTGGCAATGCCAAAGTTAAGACATCCTGTTTAGAAAAGCTATATCAAATGTCTTTGAGAGAAGAAGGCACGTTATTTGGGAGCAAACAGTTGAGAAGGAAAAGGCAGAGGCAACGTGAACTAAAAATAAAATGACTCTCTTTAGAAAGTTGTTATGGCTAGGGAGGCGCGTAATCAACTTCATGGGTGGAGAAGGTAACTGTCCCATGGAGAGCCACGCTGAAGCGCCCTACGGTCAAAGCTCCAGGCCAGTGCCGGGCTGGGCACTGCATTAGCGCGACTCCCACCCGCTGCCGCAGAGCAGCTGCCGCCTCCCGGAGCCCCGGAGCGGCCCCCGCCGCCCGCGCGCCCCAGCCCCGCGCGCCCGCGTCCCTACCCGGGGGCCGCGGCCACCGCGGCGGCGCACACGCAGAGAAGGTGGGCAGTGGTCAGGAGCGGGGGACCCTGCATCTCGGCGGCGTCTGCCTGGGCGCCAGTCCGCTGCCGAGGAAATTCGCGGGCACCGTAGGGCGTGGCTTGCCACCTCCTCCCTGAATATTTTTTCCCCTGACTCTGGAGTTTAGTAATCTGAAATGGGCGCGACTAAAAGCCGAGTGAGAGATCTAAATTGAGACAGGACTTCGAGGCTCCACCCCTCCCACCCGCATCACAATGGCGCTTCTCGTTGCTTTGGCAAATTTCGCAAACCCAGGGGGTTAGAAAGCAGTCTCCAAACTCGGTCAGCCCAACCTGGCCCCAGCATCCCTGCTGGCCGCGCAGAACAGAGGGCGCCCACTTGCCCAGCCCACCGGGCTCCTCGGGCTGTTTACACTAGCGCTCTACCGCCGATGCCCACAGTGAATAAACAGGCCCATCCTTGTGAGGAGAAATTCATAGCAGCTATGTGAAGTGGAAAAAAATCAATCATTGTCCTCCAGACTATGAGTCAGAATTTGAGAAATGGCAAACACACACACACACACACACACACACACACACACACACACACACTCGCGCGCCAAACCGGCATATTTCCTGTGTACTTGCTTAATGTATATGAATGGGGACAGAGAAAAACTTTTTTTCCTTAAAACAAAAATTGAAGTACACTGCTTTCCCCTCCAAGAAAATGTTTTGGTTTCTCAACTTTAAAAAGAAGGAAAGAAAAGAATTCTGGCACGTGCAAAAGTTAGGTGTTGCTACTTGGAACCCTGAGAAACAATTGACTGGGAAGATGATTTTATACTTTTGGCTATCTCTAAACACATTTGCTACAGAAAATGTTCAGTAGAACCGTAAAGCTTGGAGCAATCTGTCTAAACACAATTAGGGTTGGGGTGGCTGTCCTGCAGGAATGAAGGTCGGTGGCCTGCCGTGCCCGACAGTTACTGATCCCCGACTCTTCGCGGTCCTCGCTGGTCTGCAGCTCCTTTCCCCTGCTCTTTGGCACTGCCACCATCTTCAGATGACTCAGGTTTCACCATGACTACACCATAAAAGCAAGGAACTGCCAGAAACTGTTGGAAAACAGCACACTCAGTCCCTGACAACTTAAACTTTCTAATTCATGGAGAAGTTTTAGATGGTGACATATTAATATGGGGCAAAATGCAAACGGGAAAGAAGTCAGCAGAGAGAGGTCTCATGACAAAGCTACATGCTAAAGAAGGGGGAAAGTAGCACCTAGACAAACTGTGGTTTTTGGAGTCCCAGAACTTGCTTTCCTCCCTTTCCTGTTACACCCTTTTTCTCCCTGCTGAAGAGCTTGCCCTTGTGTCCTCTCCTACAGGCAGCCTATCTTTAGTGGCCAACTTCCTGTGCAGGCAGGACTTGGGAATGGCGAAAGTGTTCCTAGTGGATCCTTGGGTGCACACCTGTTCCTGACACAGCTGTTTTTGCTAGTGTGATCTCTTCACATCTGCTGGTCAAAGATGAGGACCAGAGTCAAGTGTGGATTAAGTGCCAAGGTCCAGATTGGTGCCTCTCACACTCCAATGTGTATGAGAATCACGTTAAAATGCAGGTGCTGATTCAGCAAGTCCAAGGTGGGAACTGAGATTCTGTTTTACTTCAACAGACAGCGGGCCACAGAGAGTCTACAGGCAGGGGATATTTGTGGGCACTTTGATGAGCAAAGGAAATTGACAAGACTGAGAAAATTCTTCTCAAACATTCACTTCATAGAGGCGGGTCAATAAACTCAGGTTCATTCTAGAGGCAGGCAAATGTAAGAGGGACTACAAAAGATTAGTTGATAATGTTGCATTCCATCCAAGAAGACTTACGGAAAGGCTTGGAATCACCTAGTTGTAGTGTTGAGCCTGTAGTCGCTATAGGTCAACCAGAGGAGAAAAGCTAAATGTGGATAAGAGTGAGGAAAAATTGACAGAGAACTAGAACCCATGTCTCTCTTACTATCTCCAACTTCAATGTCATGGGCAACCTGCAGGAGAAAGCTGAAGGGGAGATCTTCTGAGAACTGGAGGAGCTATAGGCCTGATTGCTGCCCCACAATCACAAAGTGAACTAGCACATAAGTAACAATATGGGCAGTGTTCTCACCTGCCTAGAACCCTAACCCACCTTCAGAGAGTAAAAAAAAACCACAGCTTCTGCTTCACTCTGGCTTCCAGATTCATACGAAATGTCTTTTGTGGCCAGCACCAACTCAGAAGCATATAGGGAAGGGAATTCTGAAAATTTTAGCTCCATCTTAGATAAGCTGGCACAGTACAAAGCGACTGAAGTCCATTCCTCATCAACTTGGCATCTATATATTCCCATTCGACTATATTTAACTTCAAAAAAAGACAATAGAAAAATCATGCTTTCACCTAACATGATGATACTATCCCTCATACAACCAAAATCAATATAATCTTCTCTCTAGAAAAAAAGAATTATCTACCAGAGAAGAAGAAATCACAATTGATTTGTGTTCTTCAAAGTCCCTAAGGCTCTAGTGCATGGTTTTAATTATTATAATTTGAACAGCAAAGTACTGTCTAAGAAAGACACATTAATCTGAGATGACCTCTACCAATTGCTGGTTTGGAAATTGATAGATGTCACCCAATGGCATGATTTATAAACAAACTAATTAATTAATTAATAAGCAAAGAAACAACCTTGAAATCACACCAACAGTAAACTTCTGTTTCAGATCCCAACTCTGTCAGCCGGGTAAGGCAGCTCACATTCCGTGTTTCTCCTTCTCCTTCTGGGAGGAGCAGGCTGGGAGACGCATGTTCTTCTCATGGCCATGGCAGACGCACAAGAGAGCAAGCTCCACTGCTCAAGCATATTTCAGGTCCCTACTTACTTGACATTTGCTAAAATCCCATTGGCCAAAGCAAGTCCCCTGGTCAAGGACCAAGTCAAGAGTGGGTGGCATACTGCACCTTTTTGTTAGAGGAACTGCAAACCTAATTATATGGTAAAGAATATGGATGGAAGAAAACTGGAACCAATAATTCAGTCTACCACAGACAGTAAGCAGCATTTGCCCAAAGCTGTATTCTGTTCATCAGGACAATGTTTCCATGAAGAGCAATTAGCCTATCAAGGAATGAAGACAGTGAGGAAGGGAGGAACGTAGGAAGGAAGGATAGAGAGAGAGGGCACAGGCACACGGTGGGGGGCAGGGGAGAGAAAGGAACAAAGAGGACGGAATGAAGGAAGCAAGCAAGGAAGGAAGGAAGGAAAGAAGGAAGATGTATCTAAATTCATGAATGGGTAATGATTTTTTAATTTATTCACCGTTGGAGGATGGGACAATATGAACTCATTAAAGTAAAAGAATTAAGCTTTATCCTGCTTTTCCTGTATTAACTGTATCACTGGATAATCAAATAGTAGGCATGCAGAAATTTCTCTCTATAGAAGTTTTTCAGCTAATAAATACAAAATGAATATTAGAATAGCACCATATCACAACTCCTCATGAATGAGAAGATCTATACCAGTGCTGTCCAATACCTCTTCCTGTGACAATAGAAATGTTCTACATCTGCCCTAATACAGTAGTTACTAGTAACATGAGGTTACTGAGACTTTGAAATATGATTAGTGTAACACTGAAATTAGATTTTTAATTTTATTTAATTTAATTTACATTTAAGTTGCTACATGTGACTAACAGCTACCATATTGAATTGTGTAGACCTAAACAATGATCATAAACAGCTGCTAGTATCACAAATGGAGGTATTCTGACACTACAGGCCTCCTGATAGAAGAACAAAGCATCACCTAAGAAGTGATCTTGCCAAGAAATCGAACCAGAATCTGATGAAGCCTCTAGATTCAAATGCCAACTTGCGAAGAAATAGGAAAGAACGTATTAACAAAATCCAAACTGTGGGAAACTCTATCAAACAAATAAGCCAATTCCTTCAATAAATAAATTGCAAGGAAAAATAAAGGGAGGATGTTAGCAAGATGGTGGAATCGGAGTTTCCAGGGCTCATTCCCTTGGAGAAGCATCAATTCAAACAATCATTCACACACAAGAATACCTTCACAAGAACTAAGGAATCCAGCTGGGAGATATAGCACCTAGATGGAGCACAGAAATAAGAAAAGACACACTGAAGAAGATAGGGAAAACAGTTTCATATTACCCAAGTTACCCCTTCCCCTTTCTCACTCAGCACAGCACAGTATGGAGAGAGATATCCTCCATATAGGGGAAAAAAGAGGGATGTGAGAACCTGACTTTGCCACAAAACTCAGCACCAAGCGCCCTCCAGTGAGCCCCAGTACCAGTCCATCCCAAGGTTCCAGGATGCAGCCCTGCCCCATGGACTCAGGCACCAGACCAACCCCGATAGATCCAGGCACCAGTGCCACTCTGGTAAACCTCAGCACCAGGCCGGCACCTGCAGACTCAGAACTAAGCCCATTCCCGTGGACCCAAGCACCAGTTCAGCCTCCGTGGATCCAGGCTTCAGGTGAGCCCTATATGAAGAAAATAATGAATAATGAATGTAAAAGTAAATTAAACAGACACTAGAAAAACAATAAAACTAAGAGTTGGTTTTTTGAAAGGTAAACAAAATTGGCAAACCTTTAACTAGACAAAGAGAAAAAGAGAAGACTCAAATTTTTTTAAAAAATTTTTTATAATTTTTTTAACTAGTTGATTTGGCAGATGAGTTACATCAAATAAAGAAAATTATAAATGAAAGAGAAGACATTACAAGTGATACCAAAGAAAAACAAAGGATCATAAGAGACCACTATGAACAAACATACAACAAAAAGTTGAATAACCTAGAAGAAGTGTATAGATTCCTAGAAACATGTAACCTACCAAGACTGAATCATGAAGAAATAGACCAATAATTAGTAAAGAGATTGAATCAATAGCCAAAAGCCTACCAACAAAGAAAAGCCCTGAACCTGATGGCTTCCCTGGTGAATTCCAGCAGACACTTAAAAAAGAATTAATACCAATCCTTTTCAAACCC